TCCATATTTTCTTTGAAATTAGGAAATTTTTTGAAAAGCTCTCTTGTCTCTCCCTTTTAACCAAAAGACTGCACGTGGCTTGCAGGATGAGTACCGGCAAACAAAAGGTGTACATGAAAAGCGACATGCCCAGAAGTTATTGTTCCATCAGAAACCTTCAAATATACTTTTCTAGATGCAGTTTTAGACGCTGATCAAGAAAAACATCTTTGTGAAGCTCCAAATCTATTTGGAACGGAGTTACACCAAAGTTAGCGGATTTCGACAACAGAGTCTCTCTCAGTATTTTGAATTTTTCTCGATGATAACGCGCACTAAAACAATTCAGAGTAACATATTCTTAATCAGCATCAAATTCTCTATCGAATGATGTGAAAATAAAATAGTGCTGGACGTTTGAACCAGGAGCGCCTTACAAAAATAAACTCACACAAAACTTGTCTTTTTAATTAAAATAAAACACTTTTTTAACAATTCTTTCAATTTTTTGATCAAATATAAGATAGGTGAGTACTAGAGAGACGATAATATAATGGACATGACACAGTAGGCGGATGAGATACAGTTAAAGCATCGACGAAAGGGGAATTAAACAGGACAAACAAGAGAGCTTTTCAAAAAATTTCCTAATTTCAAAGAAAATATGGACATTCTGAAGCGATAAATTAAAACAGAAACCAATTAGCGAATTCAATTCTTGTTTACTATGAGAAAGGAAATCCGCATACTGCTGTATACATCAAACACTTGATACACCGACATCACTACAGACATTACCGCGAATACTTGTTTATATTGGAAAAGAAGAATAAATGAGCCTGGTTATATATTTTGCATATCATGTTTTGAAACCTGAGTGAAATTATGTGGTCAATAGTCATTATGCGATACAATTACAGATGTACAGTTTCGCATCATGAAAATATGTTTTGTTTGAAACTACTTTTCAAACTCACTCTCACACCTCCACCTCCCACGACACACTGCAAAAATTTGCAGAAGAGTCGGGATTCTTTTCGTGGAAATGTCCTTTCACGAAACATCCAAGTTAGCGAGGAAGGGTTAAGGTAGTAAAAAATGGTAAAAAAGTTTATTTCTCGTCCTGAACTTCGCACAAACTATTGCCAGCTATTTTTTGTAATTTCTAAAAAAAAATCAAGAAAATGTCTACACTGTGAAAAAAACAAATGGCTCTCGTGCTATGAATGATCACTTAAAGTACCTCACAGTCACTTTTTTGAATGGAGCACATTTTATCCTGGAAGAACTCGGAGCAGAGAACTTGAAATGTCCCATCTATCGTCCATTAACGTGGCCTTTTTTATCTAAAGAGACAGCTAGTTTTTCGAAAATGTAGTAAAATTTCCAAAATCAGAGAGGTTTAACCTGGGCTTCCACTCCTTATTTACACAGTTATTTGGATCAAAAACTAATTTAAATTGATCGAACTGCAGAGTTTTGTCAATTTTCGACTATCCAACTTAGGATTCAGTCGTATCATCTTGTGTCGAGTTTTGTGTTAAAAGAACTTACTCCTGTTGGTTTTGTTTTCGTAAACCATTGTCCAACTCTTGAAATATATGTTGCTAAATTCTTTATTTTCTCAAAGTGACCTAATTGTTGTTGTATTGCTATTATTTTTTCGTTGGATTCACATTGATAAAACCAATAGGATTTTTCTTTGATTTGACTATTATTTGCTCCAAATAAAAAATATTTTTTCTGACATAAATCAATACCTCTTTTCAATATACTATTTTCGTAATATGATAATAAATTTGAACTGTCACTTAAATATTTTCCGTATTCGTCTTTAAAATAAACAAGTAAAAATTTTTCTTTATCACCTAAATCTTCGCGACGTAAGAGGCGATGTCCGATGACTGTTTCCATTGGCTCGACTATAATACGCATTGGTGTAACGATGACTCGTGCTACCTTATAGCCTTCAGTTGTTCGCTCTCGTTGTTTCATCTCTTGAAATTTATTTTCATCAAATATTTCAGTTAAATCCAGACAATGATTGTTTTTTAAACATTTATAAGCAATAACAGCCAATTCATAAAATGTTTTATCACATTGTTCAGCTAAATGTTTCATTGTTCGACGTAATTCTTTTATTGTACGATATTTATCTTCGAATACGTAACCTAATGAATTTAACATGTACATAGAATATAATGATTTGTATGATTTATATGGATAAAGATAGTGGTTTATTGAATTAGCAATAGAAAATGGTGTTTGTCTTGTTTCACGTTCATGTAAATGATTTGCCGGTTCAACTAAAACTTCTGATGAACAGAAGGAACATTCCTTCAATGCAGATTTTAAATAATTTAAAAATTTGTCAGCATCATTTTTATTTCCAAATGTAATCAGAAGATCATTACATCGTCCCAATCGACAGCTTAAGTCATTATCGCCAAAAAGTCTGAAAGAAATCAATAAATTTATCCTTTTCTTCGAACATCGTGTGAGACGTTTTATCCTTAAGATATAGAGGTGGGCTGAGTAATCCTACCTTATAGATAGCATTCTGATGCGAAAAGAAGCAATTACGTCAAGTGTTTGGAAAAATTCGATGTTTCTTCAGGCTATATATAGTATCGGATTAGAGGAACACAGTTCCAATACCAGACTACAGGATGAAACAAATTGTATACCCTACAGACGTCGGTCTACTCTTTTCGATGAAAATGACCACAGAACTATACTCAAGATTTGTTGACACTTTGTACAAGGCTGAAAGGTGACATCGCATAGCGTAGAGGGCCCTGTTAGCGAACTTTCAGTTTAATTATCACTCATACCTTCCACAGTCATTTTTGGGATGATTTCGTACTTCGATTGACACATGACAACTAAGAATAATATTTTTAGAATCATCGGATTCACTAATCAATATTTCTCGATGCAATTGACTCAACGGTATAACAAATTGCAGATCTAATCTATTTTTTGTTGTTGTTAGTAAGTTGAGTAGAATTTCTTCATTCTTTATCACTAAATGCCATTTCTGTTGTTGTTCGTCATTGTTTTCATCATTCGGAGAATGCAAAACATGACTGAAAAATTTTGATAAGGATAATAATGCACCAAATTTACATTTGATATCTTTCAACTCAACGGAATTTTGGCATGACTTTTTTGTATTGCACCTGAAAAAAGACATGAAGAAATATTTGTATGAAATGAGTGAATGAGTCTAGAACTGATTAAACAAGCTCCATGTGCAAAAAAGATTAGTAAAACATGAGTAACAAAGAATTTTCCAAGCCTGTATCTGCGGCAGCAGTGTTCAGTTCTAAAATTTCATGCAAATTCGTAGAACTGATAGAATTCGACCCATTCACATATATACTGTTCGGAATCTGACTGAATTCTGATAGAATTCCAATTCTAGTTCTACTAGAAGCTAACCAGAATTGCACCAGAATCTGCCAGTTCGTAGAGAGAATCTATATAAAGTCACATATATCCATATAGAGCTACAATAATTCGCCCGCCCCCACCTAATAGGAGACATCCCCTATTAGAGTAGAGCAACACTGCAATTCTGCTATGGAGGTTATGAGAGAAAGAATCTTGACCGTGATCAATCTGAATGTGAAACTTCTGGGCAAAATATGTGAAAAGAGTAAAATACAGACTGATCGCGGGTATACATACTTTATGTGTAGAACTCGAAATCGACACTTTGTCAAGTATGTTCAGAATTTAGTAGATCAACTCTAGCGGATGTTAACAAACGCCCGTCCTATATATGAAAAAGCTTATACTTTACGAGATCACTATTTCGATATTAGCCATAGATACAGTACGTCCGAGTTTATAAATTTTGATACTAACATATAATAATTTATTTAATAACTAATGTATAATAATAATCAGATAAATATAATCAAAATTTATGAGATTTCTTAAGAAGAGAATCTATAGGACACTCGGGACCACAGAAGAACCGATAAAAAACTTTTCATTTGCGTCGCGCTTTTACCCAAGAAACCAACACTTCTTCTTTTGTAACACAGAACCGTTGAAGAATTGTACAAAAAGAGCTCTTCTCAAGATCATGTGACAAGATGGCTCATCCCTGCTCAAAAACACCTTATTACTGGGGTTTGGAAATAAACATGTTCCGACAGCCCTTTTACATATACTAGTAGTAAAAATCTTGCCTAACGGTCGAACATGTGAAACGTGAAACGTGAAGTTCCTACCATAAGCTTCACGTCGTTCTTTTTTTAGAGATAAAATTTAAGAAGTTTTTCAACATCATCAAAATGTGCAGCAGAAGAGGGTTTTTCCGATTAATATTAGTTGCTTGATGCTTACCTTCGTGCCATATATATTCTAGTTACTGTTCTAGTACTTAATTGTATCTTGCAGAAATTAGATTGAACTTTTCTCTGTATAACAGCAGTTATCAAATTTTCTTCCGCTTATATGAGCTTTTGTGGATATATTTTCTCACTGTGGAAGAAACCTTTGTTTGCTTCTTTCGTTTGGACAAAACTAACTGCTCACGTAAGGTACATATTTAAAGAACAAAACCAAATTGTGTCAATATTTTTGTATGACGCATAAAAGAGAACACTTCAGAATGAGTCAACACAAATAGAATACTATGCACTGTCTGAATTTCTTTCCTACCATACCTTGATACAGGTAATGTAAAAAGACATGAATACACTTGGTAACTTCCAATAGTATGAGAAAAACCAGTGAGGGAAGAAATATGGCAACGAACAGATTTCGTGTTTGTATCTTTAATAATTTTTTTATACAACGATTATTGTTATGCATATGAGATTTTTGTCAAAAGGAATGAAGCAATAGATCTGTCTTAGTTGCGGGGGAGCACAGTGGATAAAAAAGGAAAGGGAGGGACAGGAGCAATCACATAGCAATGTTAGCTCCTAACTTGGTATTGTATGTTTTATAGTTTACACTTAACCCTGATCACCGGAGTTTGTTCCACCTCGCTTGCTCATAACGTTCGTCAGATGTGAATTTTTAAAATTTTTAGCCTTATACGTGGTTATCGGCTAAGTTAATTGAGATAACCGTTTTATTCTCTCACCATTATGTAACTATATTTCATAGCTATTTACAGTATAATTTTCTCATTTTGTCAATTGTTTCTTATGGAACTGGACACATTTGACCAGTGGCAGATCAGAGTTAATTTGGGGATATTAGCATAAAAAAAGCATAATTTAGGCTAAAAATAATATTTCGATCTGAAGTTTTCAGAAAATACTTCCCACTAATTGCAGATTCTCTGTTAGAAGTTTGAAGGCGAATAACCGAATTATATGCAATGAAGATGAAAAATAGTCGGTTAATAGTGAAAACTTCAACAAAAAGGCAAAGTCAGCATATGAACCTTTGATATTTGAGTACGATACTCAGAGTAGATTAACAGTACATATTTGTATAGAGAAAGGAAGAATTGCAGTCACAATCGAATAATAAAGTCAAATTTGCTTGCTGTTTTCTCCGAATTTTTCCCATTTATCCAGATATCTAAAAAGAGATCTCTAATTCTAGCTAAAATTGTTGGTTCGATGTAATATTTTTAGATGTTATAAAGAAAACTGCCAGAGCTTTACGAATCTATACTTTTCTTAAAATCAAAAATATGAAAAGCCCGAAAAAGTCATAAATAACATTACTGAAGTGGTACAAAACCATAGCGTTCATGGGAGTTTAGTTTTTGTTAAGTTTTGAATTATTTTCAATACCGCCAGATTGTAAAGCATAACAAATTGCCTAGATCTAGAAAATTTTATGGGAAGATAACGACTATTAAAAGGATTATGAAGTTGAGAGGCAATGAGAAGAAGAATTTGAAGTGGCAAAATTCGGAAAAATTTAGATAATGTCTGTAAAACACATCGGCTTTCTGTGAAATTTCTAGCAAGTAGATAATCCGTTATACTCAGGGGCCTGAGAAGATTAAAACCACAAAAATATCGATGAATCTTCTACTTTCCCATCTGTTATACTATTGTGAATATGAATTCATTTTATTAGAACAAGACGTGAACAATACAAAGTTTGGTTAGCCCTTTGAGTACTGGATGATCTTTTAAAAAAATATTCCCGCGAACGTAGCGATACCCCTGTAACTCAGGAACCATGATAGCTAGGGGCTTCTAATTTTGTGTGATCATAGCTCTTATCGAATGCTGATCAGTCACCAACTTTGAGCCTCTTTTACTGGATGGTTCATGAGATATAAGCAATTTATTTCGTTGCCGTAAAATATCAATAGCTTCTGACCTGGGAGAGATGAAAACTTTTCTTTCTCGTACAATGCAGCCACAATTCTACTCTCTCGACGATATGAATTTCATGAGTTGGCTGTAAGGAGTTAGTGAGATACAGCTATTTTACCGGCGGGATTGGCTTTTTTTTTTTTGAAAATGCGCGGTTCTTTGCGAAAAAAATTCAGAATTCCGTCCAGGAGCACCATTTGGACTTTAAATTCGCACCAAAGACTCTACAGTGTCTGTAGATTATCCAGCCAAAGTACGAAGGTTAACTATGGTGTGGTTCGGGGAATTCACTGAGGACGAGCACCCACGATTCAAACAGATGTAGAAGAGAGGTTGAAGAACTAAGGGCCGCTCTTTGTACTATAGTATTTGCATTGAATCTACATCATAATCATGAAAAATTATTCATGGAAACCTATGGTTCCAAAAAACGTATGCGAAACTTTTGTCAGAAAGGTTATACACTCACCTCTAATCTTCGCTATTTTGCTTATTTTATGCTCTATTCACTCCCTATAGATTTTCAAGCAAAACTAATAACATATCTGAGATTAGCAGACAAAACTGGGTCATTCATTTCATTGAATAATCAATACGTAATATTTAAGAAAGTTATTCAAAGCGCAAAATCTCAGGATGTGAATCCGCGCTGCCCGTACTCGAAGGATTAAAGTGAAAAGGAGAGGAGTTGCGAATGATTGCTGAGTATACGAGTGAATCGTATATTTTTTGTACAATTGGTTTTCTACCGATATTTTAGCTATTTATTATTTTGTAGAGCATTCGATACTCTACCCAATGGTGTAATCCGCTTTTCCGTTCCTTATCAATGAACCGTCCTTTTTCTCCAAGAGCATTTTCGCACTAATTGTAGGACGAGATTCAAATGCATCTGGGAACCAGATACAGATATTTTTTTCAAAATCTGAATGTGCCACAAGACAGAGCATATAATCTAGTAACACGGAAAACATGTTTAGTTGATCGGCCAGCTAGACTTTCAGTGCCAAAAAACGCCGAAAAATTACATGTTTCACACTAAGTTTAGGGTCAGACTTTGAAATTCGTTTCGCCTGTAACTTCCGGAAGGTTCATCTGATCTCTTCGAAACCTTTACTCAAAAGAGAGATTATGAAAAGTTATACCTGCGAGAAAAAAAATCAGGCCTCAGAGACTCTTTCTCTCTGTGCGATTTTACATTATACTGTGCAAATGCCGGGTCAGATCAACCTAGTGACCAGAGGAATGATGCATTTGAAAATTTGAGCGTGCCGTAAGAAAGAGCACACCATCTAGTCCAGAAAACATGTTTCAATAATTTGGTAACTCTCTTTCACTTCCTGAAAAAAAAACGAAAAATCGCATTTTTCATTTCCGATCGTTATGTAGAGCGAGATTTTCCTTATCGGGGTAAACCTTGTCTCGGCTATTTATTTCTTCATAGATACATGGTCCAAACAATCCTCTATCTAACAGTGAAAACCGCAGTTCTCTAGCTCTTTTCCTTCATAAGTTAATCCCGTTTTATTGTGGTCGACCTTATTTTGAATCCGCTAAAAATTTGTTGCTGGGATAGTTTCGCCTGGCGATATCTGGGAGTTGTGAAATTTTTACCCGACACTCAGAAACGGACGGAGAACTACTCGAATTTTTTTAAAACCATTTTCATCTTTTTTTGAATTGTGCAACGAAAATACGATTCACTCATATATGTACCGCCTGCAGAAAAAGTGTAGACGCGTAGTAAATGACTCGTTAGAAATTTTTTTTCATATGTCCAGTCATGCCACCCAGTCAGACTGTACTGATGCATAGCTACTTCCCTCCTTACCTTTCCAAGACTTTTGTGCTTCAGTCGTCCCTTTCTTCTCCTGTCCTACGTATCAAAAAAAAAATTGGCCTTCTCCAATCTTAACTTTTTTAAAAAAAGTTTGTGTGTGTGTTCACTCACTCACGTTGTTCTTTATTTCAGAATGCTTCATAAAAGTCAGAGTGTAATTTATTGTTACGCAGCTAGAGAGATAAAAACCAAGGAAAAAGTCAATTACAGTTCAAACTATTGCTAGGAAATTCGACACCTGCACCGTCGATATTAGTAATACTCTTAATCAAAGAGAGTTCAGAGACAAAAGAACTTTTAAACTGCTTTTGAGGGCTTCGCCAGACCCCTCCCCTCGGATCGAACGTCTTTTATTGACTCTCTCACAAATTTGATGAAATGTCGGTTGGAAATGAATAAAATTTTGATATTCAATTGCGATTTGTGTGCATGGACAAAGGAGAGTTTGTGAATATGTTGAAGAAAGTTGTGAGAACTTTGCTGAAGTAGATTATTTTACATTGACCGTAACTGCCAGAGACGTATAGACGATGAGTATAGTCATTGACAATGTAAGAAGAAGAAGAAATAGATGTGTAGAATAGATTTGATTTTCTAAATCACATTCACTTTTCTCTTCTGGATTTTTGTATATATTATTTATAATATATGTATTCAGTTGATAAAGATTTTTTATATTCTTCTAATGCTGTAAGATAATATACTAAACTTAAATTGTAATTATTCATTTTTTCATAATACCGATCAATAGTTTTGTTAATTAAAGTCAATCATCTAGGATGTCTATCTCTTTTGTTAGCCGAACACCCGAACAATGGAATGTTGCAGAAGGCTGAACACTCCGTAACGATAGACTGAAATATATGACGAAAAAATACGTCGATCTTTCATTGTTTTCATTAATTTTCAGTATTTCGCGGTTTTTTTCCACCAGGTGTTATTCGTGACCAGTTTGAGACGACGAATCCGAATATGTATAATAAAGTCAGAATAAAATTTCACTTGAAGTTTGGATTCCGAGCACCTTACTCGTTTCACCCTTTGTCATGTCATACGATAACATAAGGAGATTATATGTTTGGTTTAAACTATTTTTATTTAGAAGTGAAAGTGATTATATATTTGTAGTGGCTTTTGTCCTTTCTTCTTATTTTTGTTCTTCTTGTTGTATTTTTCACAAATATAGTTCAGTGTGTTTTGTTACTAAATAAAGTGAACAAGATGTATTCTTGATACTAAGTTTAAGGCTTGTTATGAACTGGGTCCGTATGAATGTTACATAAGTTTGAAATAAGATCTGATCCCTTATAAACTCGCATTCTTCTTTATCATATTGCATGTAAAATCGTATAACCGTACCATCAGAATACCACATCGTACCACATCGTTCTATTCTGCTTCTCTAACCATTCTTTTTTCTTTTCTTGTTTATGATTAGGAGTGTTATCAGCCGTAACTCCCTCCAATCAGAACTTTTCTTTTTCTGTTTCTGTTCTTTCTTGCTCATGATTGATGCTGATCAATCAATTATCCTTTCTTTTTTTTTAATGTTTTTCTTCTGTGTATGTCTTACCAATATGATTGATTTCTGCATTTTCTATATGATAGACATAGTCTAGCCATAAAGAAAAAATAGATTCTATTTTTTCTCCTATTATCTCAAACAAAATGAATTCTTTTTTCTCTTCTTTGACCTGTTAGTTAGAGCTGTTGGTTCTGTAAGAGGATAAATGATGATAATTTCTCAAACAGAAAAATCTGACCCCAAAGAACAAAAAAAAGGATTCTGTTTTGTTAGAGCATAACTTGTATCACAAATCAATCTGACTATAGTTCTAAAGAATTTATTTGACAAGAAAAACGGCTTGTATACAAAACGAGGTGATGATAGTAAGAAAATGAAGACGACAGCGAACGATCGAAAGAAACGGATAAATACGAATGTCCCTTTTACTGTGGTCTAACAGTCATTTATATATGTAAAAAGAAAGTGTTTAGAAAAATGATAGTACTATGATTAAATATAGTATGTACAATGGCAAAGACTATATCGCTGACTATATTCTATTTTGTCTATGTGTACATGTACAAAGAGTAAAAAGAAGAACGATCATGTGTTAGGGGTATGCTCTCACAATTTTCCTTCAAGAGAACGGGAGAAAAAACAGAAACTATTTATTTTTATGGATAGACTATATCTAGGGAATAAAATGGAAATAGATCTAGTATTTTTTTCATTTAAACAACTTTGCGTATATTCATTCAAACAAATATGTTGAAATTAACACATCATCTATCGTTCATTTTATTATTTATAAGAATTAGCGTTATAGCAGCAGAAGGCAACAGCAGTCATTATCAAATAAGTTCAATAATTAATGATACCTATAATTTGTATGATACAAATTTACGTTATATAACAAAGAAGATACACGAATATCGTGAAACAGCATATAATGAATACCAGTCAGCAAAATTATTAGCAGACTTTTTAGAAAAAGAAGGCTTCTTAGTTGAACGTGGTATTGCTAATCGTACAACAGCATTTGTTGCTACCTATGAAAGTGGTGATAGCGTTAATACCAGTACTAGTGGTAGAATTGTCTCATTTAATTCTGAATATGATGCACTACCTGTACTGGGTCATGCATGTGGACATAATCTAATTGCGATAGCTGGTCTGGGTGCTGCTTTAGCTGTTAAAGCGTATTTAAACGAAACAAAGTGTAATGGTACTGTAAAACTATTTGGTACACCAGCTGAAGAGACAGGTGGTGGTAAAATCGATCTGGTTAATCATGGTTACTATAAAACAGTTGATATGAATATTATGGTACATCCAACACAAAAGCATGGTGGTGCATTCGTTCCCTATCTGGCCTTACAGGGTTTTGAAGTTGAATATTTTGGTAAAGCTGCACATGCAGCAGGCTCGCCCTGGGCAGGTAAAAATGCATTGGATGCATTACTAACAGCATTTAATTCACTGAACGCATTACGCCAACAATTGCATCCGTCGTTTCGTTTACATGGTATTATATTGAATGGTGGTACAGCAGCAAATATTATACCGGATTATACACGTGGTGAATTTGTTATACGTGCACCAACTGTTGAACAATTGCAGAATGATTTAAAACCCCGTGTAGTGGCATGTTTTGAAGCAGCTGCCATAGCGACCGGTTGTCAAGTCAAAATTACTAAAAAAAGTGCATATAATGATGTTAAACAAAATGCCGTTCTAGGTAATCGTTATGAACTCTATTCAGTTGTACAAGGCACTCTACTACCATCGAAACAAGAACAATCCCTTTTTTCAACTGGATCAACGGATCAAGGATATGTGAGTTATGCAGTACCATCGATACATGCTGATTATCGTATATTAACGGAAAATAATCAAGGACCACATACAAAAGAATTTGAATTAGCTACAATTAGTGAAAAAGCATATCTCGAGACAATTAAGGCATCGAAGGCTTTGGCTGCTACAGCTATTGACTTCTTAGAAGATGATGTATTTGCAAAGAATGTCATTGATGAATTTCAGTCATCTAATACTAATACTACGGCAACTACCGCATAATAGTGCTTTTATTTTTTCTTGTGTACATTTTTACTGGAATAAGTAGAAGTTTAGCGATAATGAATCAAAACTAACGAATGTTTAGATAAATCGACATCCTCTTGTGTACACGTCTTCCATACGAATCCAATGTGCCTTCTATATACTTACCAGTAGACACATTGAAGGCATATAAAAGACGTGTATTATTTTGAAGACGCATTCTAGTCACGCAAAAGACATTTTTTCTTGGTAGGCACATCGCTGAAGTAGTATTTTTTTAAAGTGAAAACAAAGGTAAAATTCTAATTAGAAAAAAGCTAACCTTTGCTGTGTTACGCGCTTTGTAACTTACGTTCAATGAGATTTCAAACCGCATCGATGACAAAAAAGAGAGGAGAACCGTAGTAAACTTCTTCCACCGAAGATTTTGGGTTAAGAAATGTCACAAGATCTTGGAAAAAACACCAAGAAGTCAAGATCTTGGATTCTTGATTTCTGCACTCTATGAAGGTCTCTGAAACTTTTTTCCAAATTCATTTTTGCTTATGGAAACACAGCTTCCACAAGCCACTATTCTTTTTTATTCCTTGAGTTATCCAAAAAGTAGCCATTTCTCTTGTATTTTCATGCCGATAGTAGTTTGTATTTCCTGTATGATTTATCCTTTTCTTCTTATTAAGGGAGGGTGGACTCCCCCAAAAGGGTACTGTTTAACCTTTTCAGATTGTAGAGAACACTTGGCTGCATATATCCTGAAGTCTTTTCTGAGCGCCGATAAGTACTCACGGAGTTATAAATTAATTAAGATAAATTTTAGCAAAAAACTTAATTGCTGGGTCTATTTTTAAAAAGCTTACAGCTCAGTCAAAAATAGTCGTGGAAATGTCGTTTTAGCGTAGTTCGGTAGCCAATGATCTATAGTTATAGTTTCAAGAAAAAAATTGAAAAAGAAAGTTTTTGAGGTAGTAGTTTATAATTAATCAGTGCTGAGTAATACGAAGTTATTTTGACGTTTTTCGTTTTATCAACGATTTTCGAACTGAGCATAGCCACACTAACAAAAACGAAGAGGTTCACGTGTAACTCTCCATTCTCTCGTTTCCTCCTACAGTAAAACCCGGCAATAACAACAAGTAATATAACTAACTGTTCACATACTTGGATAAGTGCTTCTTATTTATCATAGTTTACTCTATTTTTCAACTTTCTTCCCGTCTATAGTAGAATCAACATATTCAATTGAGTTTAAACGAATACGCTTATTTCCATCATTGTACATGGCTACCGTAGTCCATTTCACGTATACACTTGTTTCTTCCCTAGTTTTGATCGAGTATATTTAAATATAGCCAAATTCAGGATTAAATCCTCATTTATTGAGTTCCTGCCTACTTGTTTTTTGTGGATGAGAATCATCGGACAAATAGGGTAGTGAACAAAGTGCAGGATTTTTTTGCCGTTCTTGTTATGGCTGATGCAATAACTAACGCTGATGTGTTAGCCTGGTATTAACACCGATCGATGCACATATCTCGATGACAATTTGATCCGTATTTTCTTAAGGGTACTTCTTTAATATCATAAATACGTAGATTTGTACGCCGATTATAAGCTGCTAAACCTTCGAATAAAGATTGAAGTTTGTTGACTCTTTTTCAAAAGACATTATTCTTTTTTTAAATGTTTTCACGGCCTCACGATCGATTTTTGATATACCATTTAAAGTTGCTTGTGACGGCAATACTTTTTTGATAGTATCATCAATATCGCGAATGTTTTTCTGACATAATCTCTTTCTCTCGTGAACCTTTGCGTGACAGGACCACAGAATACATATGGCTGACAGTTTAATCTTGTAACAGTAGGTGAGAATAAGAGAAAAGACGTTTAGTTATCTAAATGGTACGTACGTCCAGTCGATATGAATCAAAAATGAGAGAATGCTTGAGTTGTATATGCTAAAAGAGCTTGAACGGAACTCGGAGCGCTAATTTTTATGTCGAAAATATTTCAGGGGGGACGAGGGTACCTTTCGAAGTGCACAATTCATTATGAATCCTGGTTATCGTTGGATGCATTCAACTGTTAAAAAGTACACAATTGTTCTTGCTTCGAAAACTATTCTCATTCTTTTCAGAGAATGAGCGCCCCTATAGTTGCATTTCACTTCGCAGAGAGTGCAAGTTTTGTCTAAATCATTAAAAAAATAATCATGAATGAAAAAGCTATTTACTGTATTACAATTCTCTTTAAGAGGCCGTTAACATGTGTATTTTTTGGATGGAAACAGACAGTGAGGAAAAAAATGGTTATGAAAACTATCCTATAGACATCTTTTCAAGACTATTTTATTACAAGTACAAGTTGTCGTTGTGAATTAAACACGCAGATATCATGTGGATGTTTCATTCACATACAATGATGGATTAATTTTAATTCCATCTTGACTACAAGCACATAGATGTTGAGGTATTCCTTCTGACACACAATCTCTTTCAAATGACAATTTATGGAATAAGCTAGGTCGTCTCAGATCATCTGTGTGAAGTGGTTTTGATATGGAATCGGTCGCCATATTATACAATGTCCAATAAAGATCTCTTGGCGTCACTAGATGGTATTCGTTTTCGATCAGAGTTTGTTTTGTTGTATCAGATAAGTATTGATTTGGAGTGATGGCTATTAAGATGGGTAATCTCCATTCCATTTTACCAGCTGTCGTTTGCTGAAACATTGGTCCGTAGTGTAGACCATGGTCAGCTACCAGTAGAATGATTGGTGGCTGATTTAGCTCGTTTGATGTTAAATATTGCACAAGTGTGCTCAACTCCTGATCGACCATTCCCACAACCTCCATACTCGGCTCGTGTCCTTCAATGAATGAGACGAACGAGAAATACGGAAGATGTTTTGAGTCGTGCTTCTGCACAAAATCTTTGATAACATCTAGTTGATAGCTGTGCACATATCTTCCGTCTATACATCGTCTTTTTACGCCATACGGGCCAACGACACTATTCCATTGCCCATCGACATCGTATTCCGGATGACATGACCACATTACACTCTCATAATCAACATGATATGCTGAAGTTCGACCATAGTAATCACCAATATAGTCCACACACATGTTGCTGATTAGCGCTGTCGAATATCCATTAGCTTTGAATACGTTAAAGATGAAGTCTTTTGCAGTACATGGAATATTATGAGTTTTATATTTGACATTGGCTTTTCCCCATCCAAACTTTCCGCTTCCACAAAACATTGCACGAATGTTACCGTCAGAATTTCGATCTAAATTGATTAACAAAACACTAGTATTATTGTCAAGTTTCAAGATTTTATAATCAATCAAAATGGAAGTAGATCGAGCGATGTATTCTGTAACGTCGACTATCAAAGATAGCGCTCGATAAAATATCACTTACGAGGGAACCTTTCCAAGTGTCCGACCGCTTTTCTAATGGAATGCGGTAGCTGATAGGTAATTGGCCATGCTGATTCTGAATATGATAGCCATTTTTGCCCAAAGGCCTTTTCTGGAAAACTGGTTTTCGAGAAACCTCGAAAATCCTCAAGAGTTTTTCTAAATAAGTCACGACTGTAGCCCGCGAAATTCTGATTAAAATGAGATGTCTCTCAGCTCTACACGACCGTCTTTGCAAAGTTATAGAATTTAAAAGAAATTCTAAATGTTTATTGTCACCTCAGAGCCACAGAAAGAAGAAGGAAAGATGAATTTAGGGCTTTTCTTGTAAATTATATAACTTTGCAAAGAAAGTCGTGTAGAGCTGGGAGATGTCTCATTTTGATCAGAATTTCGCGAGCTACAGTTGTGAATTATTCAGAAAAACTCTTGGGGATTTTCGAGGTTTCTCGAAAACCAGTTTTCCAGAAACCAGTTAGAAAAGGCCTATGGGCAAAAACGCCTCTCATATTCGGAATCAGCATGGACTATCAGTTATAGATTAAGCATGGAGAAATAGTGCGATACTCTCGCCGATATGAAGGCGGACAACGAGGACTTAGGACCTGAGACTTGTCTTCAACCTACTGATGCTATACTCGTCTAGATATGTCGGTTTTCTTCAACATGAAAGTGCTACTAGTCTAGCAGCATGGAGTACAGCATAGAGGACTCAATCTGCCAAAAGATCCTGTGCAAGATGATGATGAATACTTTTCTGCTGTTATTTCTTGGTAATCTCATACCTAACGAATGATACTTTTGAAAATCAACAACAGTATAACTTTCCGGTCTCAGATTTTCACGAATAAACTCAACTGTTTGTGGCATTTTTCGATGGAAATGTCTTCGACTAACACCGTCAAATTCGATCATCAAAACGGGAGGCCGTGATTTCCGTTCAGTCTCCATCAATTTTTGTTTAATTCGTTGTTCAACAGCTGGTTTCAGAATCGTTTGAAGAAATAATTGTTCTTGACCATTGCACGTAACCGTGAAAAGTTCATCATCAACAATTTTTAACTCGATTCGAGATGTTTTACGTAGCGAAGTCACAAGTTGGTTTAATGTTGTCTGACGTTTTTCTAATTTTTTTTTATTAGACAAACGTTGAATGAGCAGTGTGACACTTGTCTGGGTTAATTTGCCG